CATAAAACAATATTTTACATTGATAGTTTATTTACATAGACTGGATACAAACCGACTATTAATATTTTTACAGAGTTTTATATATTACATATTTTCCCAGGAATACAATACAAAAGTTATAATATTATATATTCTACATCTTCTACCAGTACAAAACTATACTGGACGCTTATCACCTGCAATAATTAAACATTGAGAGGGATAAGCGGGTGACGCTTAGTGAGTTCAATAACAGTTACAATATAACGCTATGCCATATACATATCAATATGACATAAGCAAAGAGGGACAAGGAACAAGAAAGGTAAATGAGTATCATATGACAGGTTTTCCATATCAACGAATAATCAGATTCAAAGATTTGTAATCAATGAGACAACAATTTCAATACTTGATATACATCAATAAGACTTCAGCCCAAGTGGCGCAGAAAATATAATTTTAGAATATCATTTTGCTAGAATACACAGGCTTTCAGCCCTATCTTAGCATTTTGTTCATGCCAAAGTGATGTTTATGTCATACACTTCATGGCCAAAGGCTACATACCAGTGCCCAAGTGATGCTTATGTCATACACTTCGTGGTCAAAGGTATAGCTCATTATCATAATAACATGGGAAAGCACATTGAACATATAACACATAACATACAATTGTCCCTATTTTGAACTCACCGTGAAATAACCGGGGATTAAATGATAATTTGGGCAGCACTTCGGCTCTAAATATGACTTTCTGTGATGAAACCGGGGATTTTAGTTGAAATCCGGCCTTACTCGGGCAGAGTTTCGGCTAGAAAATATGATTTTCTCGGGAACTTCGGAGTGTCAGGACTTGCTTCGGGTGTCGGGGATGATACCGGGACTTCGGGGTGTTAGTGTAAATTTAGAGAGAGTAGAGGTTGTAAAGTGAGAGATTTTGTAACATAAATACGGGAGCCTTCGCATCCTATTTATAGTAGTCCGAAGTTGGTGACTACGCTGCGCGTAAGTCCTTGGTACGCTGGGCGTACTGTGAGGCGGTCCACTACACTGAGCGTACCCCTCGTACGCGGGGAGTACCTGCGAGTTGTCGTCTGATAGGAACCCGAGCTTCGGACGTGTGAAGAGGTATGATACGTGTTTGCATGCGAAGAAGAGGGGGACGTGGCTGGCTCCGGGTCGCATACGTGCGAAGTACGTTGGGCGTACGTCCTCGGATAAGTCTTGAATTTTTATTTATTTTTATTTAAAAACTTCAAAAATTCATATCTTTTGCATACGAGCTCCGTTTTTGACGTTCTTTATATCCACGCGTAGGTGAGATTATACCCTACAACTTTCATTTAGACTTCGTCGGCTAATCTTGAGTTTATTTTTAAAGTTATATTTTTAACGGGTCGGGACTGGAAAGGTCCGTTAAAAATTCATAACTTCTTCATCAGATGTACGTTTTCGTCTATCTTTTTACCGTTGTACTACTATTGACAAGACCTTCGATTCTCCTTTAGGTTGCGTCAGCTAAAAATCTCTCGATCTTTGTTTCGAGTTTTTAGCTGTCTACTGCTATTCTGAAACTTAGAAAAATCATAACTTCCTCATACGAAGTCAGATTTGGATGTTCTTTTTATGAAAATTCTCGGTTTAACGAATACTACGACTTTCATTTATATCATAAGGTCTAAAAAGTAGTTTATCGAAAACTCACGTTTTAGGTCATACGGCGTCGTGACGGTTCTGTCGCGAAACTTCAATAAGTCATAACTTCTTCGTTATAACTATGATTTCGATGAGGTTTTCACCTAAATGTTTCTAACGAGATTCTTTACAACTTTCAATAATATAATTTTACTTATTTTCAACTTTATATTTTCGTTAAATTTCAATATTTGATTGGAATCTCATAAGACTTCCAATATTTTCCGATCGATTCTAAACATAGTTTTACTTCATTTCTAGTAAAAACTATCTGTTAGAACTCAACGCTCAAATTACATAATATTTCATTATATTATTCACTTTAAAAATTATATAACACGATAATTGAACGTGTATGTTACAGTCGAGCTCGTATAACAGAACCTAAAGAGAGATGAAACGTTCTACGCTACTCATACCGATAAGAATGGTGTATTTGTCAGTGATATGGCGGATCAGCAATGCGTAAGTATTTAATTATAATTTTATCATATAACTAAGTGCTTATTTATACTTAAATGTTAATCATTTTTGGAAAACACAGTATCGGTTAGTGCAAGAGCTCTTAGAATAAACGCAAAGATTAAATGAAGAAAGAGATTTAACACCCGTTGAAGAAAGAGCATGTTTTAGGAAAGTATTTAAGTTCTCGGCATGGCCATATAAGAGGCATTGGCCGAAAACCTTCTGCCATCCTAAGGATTGCACAACCTTCGCTGCCAGCAACACAGTCACAATCATCCCAGGTAAATGAAGACTATTTAATTTCAAAGTTTCATATATCTATATAATGATCAGTAAATGCATGTTGATTTGGTAATGGCGTTTATGTTCCAAGTGCAAGAAATATCAATGTACTTTGGTTTTTTGTCCCAAGTACAAGAAATAACAATGTACTTTAATATCAATAAATGCATGTTGATTTGGTAATTGTGTTTTGTTTCAAGTGCAAGAAATAGCAATTTACATTGATATTTCTTGTATTTAAGGTTCTTTAGCATAAAATAAGTAGAAAGTAAGCTATCATTTCTTGCAAAACAAGACTATTTAATTTCAGCATCTCATATATCTATATAATGATCAATAAATGCATGTTGATTTGGTAATTGTGTGTATGTTGCAAGTGCAAGAAATAGCAATGTACTTTGGTTTTTTGTTCCAAGTGCAAGAAATAGCAATGTACTTTGGTATCAATAAATGCATGTTAATTTGGCAATTGTGTTTTTGTTCCAAGTGCAAGAAATTGCAATATACTTTGGTATTTCTTGTATTTAAGGTTCTTTATCACAAAATAACTAGAAAGTAAGCTACCATTTCTTGTAAAAAAAGAATATTTAATTTCAAAGTCTCATATATAT